AATCTTTTAAAGTAAACATTGTTTAGATAATATACGTAAAGGTGGTCATTAGTTAAATAAATAGTGCAACAGGAAACTACATTTTTATAAAATTCTCTAACTTTTATTTATTTAGTCTAAACGAGAGTATCAAACTTTGACATTTGAATAGTTTCTCTTTAATATTAAAACCATGTTTGCCGTTCGATCACACATTCAAATGATACAGTTGTCACGTTTCCAATAACCAAAAGTCCGAATAGAGTTTCTGCACTTCTACATTACTGACATACAGTGACAAGTAAATGGGAAACGAAAGACAATAAATGATGCAGAAATTGCCTTGTTACTTTTCTAAGTTATTGAGCTTGTACGTTTTATTGAAATTCTGAAGTTTAAGAATAACGATTTATCAATAAATTAAATCCTTGAAAGATTTAATTATTACTATTATTTTTTTCAGTTTTATTACGTATCAACAAAATATTAAATAGCAAATACCTATATAAAGTAAAGTTTTAATAATTCATAAATATTAACATTTATTATTTATTTATTTGAACATTATTTGTGTAACTTAATTTAAAGACCGTTAAATTCGAAAGTCCTGTTGTCAAGCAGTCAGGTACGAGACTTGTCAACCTGTTCAATTCTTCACTCGATCTATAGTGTATGATGCAGTCCATTCTGTAAGCCGTCTGTACGTTCGTAATATGTACTTTTAAGGTATGTTTTTTAATTTTTTAAACGTGTTATATCTACAGAATGTTTTATTCGCGTATGTATATGTATATTTTCTCATGTTTAATTTTAATATTTAGTTGGCTGAAGAGGGGCTAATGCCCGAAACGCGACTTGTAAATTGCGTNGTGTCCAACATCTAAATAGGAGCCAGTTTCCCATAGAAAGTTCTCCCGGGACATACCTCCTTTCCCTGCCAAGAGAGGAAACCTTCCCTTGGCAGATTGCCCAGGTGTTGCATTGTCTTCTTTCATCAATCCAATCCAATCCCAATGGCTGAAGTTTACTCTGGAAATGCTGCACATCATAATTATTTAATTCAGTTTTAATCCAATTCATGTAGCAGCATCGAAACGTAGAACTAATATCGAATTGGCAAAAATATGTCATATTTAATTACAATAGAGCGTCGTTTATCCGAAAGTCGGTTATCCGAAAGAATTTTTAACATGGACGAAAATTCAACGCGAAGCGACACGCAACGGAGAAAAATTTCAACACGGGATAGGTTAATATATTTTTTTCTCACATAATCGGTTATCCGAAAAATAAGTTATCCGAACAACCCGAGTCCCCAATTGATTCGGATAAACGATGCTCTACTGTATTAATGATATACTAATTATAAATTTTTTAAATAAAGTTATGAAGCGATACATCATCCATTTTGAAGTAATCTACTGTTTCTCGTAGCTTCAAATTATAATAATGCAATTTGTAAGTTTTCATATTTAAATTATTCTAAATAATTCATATGTTTTGGATAGTCAACAAAACATAAAAACGTAAATAAAATTTTAAAATTAAAATAAATTATATTTCAAGAAATTGTTCGTTATGATAGCAATATTACAGTAAGGTTTTCAAAGAGAGAAATTTGAATTTCAATATGAGATATATGTTTTATTTTAGGTATATATTCAATATTAATTTATATAATAAGCTTCTAAATATTAATATAACATATAAATTTTAATATTATGTTTACTACATTATCAGTCAAAACGGTTGCTCTTAAGATTGGGATTAATATTCTGTCGTTTGGCATCGAAGTAGGCTAACGGTATATAAATTGTCTTTATTCTTATTGAAATTCATTTAGTTATCGTTATGTTTATTAATTTTTATGTGGAATTAATATATTTATCATATGGATATTAACACTGAAAAAAGGATTGATTACCAAAACTTAAGCCAATTTTTAAATTTGTTTCTAATTAAATTGTGCTTCAATTTTTCATACGTTTTTAATATTGCTATCACTATTTTTATCAGAAATAAAATTACTAACATTTAATTTTGTGATTTCTAATCTAATAAAATTTATAAACATTTTAGATTAACTTTTTTATTAAATTTGTATTACTGAAAAATGTTAAATAAAATTTATATCTCAGAAAGAAATATAACAATTTAATTATATATAATTTATGAAATTTTACCTGTAATTCCATTTTATGGAACAGATTAACACAAAGATAATCTAGAAAGTTTCGGAATTTTATAAAATAAATGTTCCGCTTCTGAACTATCGAATTTTCTTTTGGATTGTTAACTCTATGTAATGGGGTGCAATAATATTTTTATTTCTGAATAGGCTCGTAAAATTTAATAATTTCGTTTTTTTTTAGTTTCGAAAGCGGGGAATCAACGTTTGAAAATATTCTATGTTTTGATACATAAGGAACTACGCCGATTAAATTTTATAGGATCCATTCTGATAAATTTTATTTGTTGTAAATTCTATAAGTGATATCACGTGTGTTTTTGTTTTATAATTTCACGATATTAAGCAGTAGAATTTTGTTCGTGACACACATTATAAACTTAATGAAATATATAAAAATTTGAGTTTCTTACATTTCTACAATAGCATATGTAAATGAGCTTAAGTTATATATTAATATTTTATACAATTCACCGAACTTTGAACAATTGTCTTTTCTACTTTATTTCTAATTTAACGTATAGCAGATTAGTTTCTTTATATCATAGACCAACGATGCCCAAATCTTGAGGATCTTCAAGAGCTCAATTGTGGCACAACCAATAAGTAAAAAATATTTATTTTTAAAAATTTCATTACAAACATTACAAGTTCATAAACCTTCAACTAGCAAAGAGTAAATAAAAAAAAAAATGTAATAAATATATCAAAATTCTCAAAATAAATACATTATGATTCTGAAATTTTTATTTTTATACCAAGAACATTAGGTGCGGCTCCCAATATTTTCAGGTAGGTAACTAGGGCTCTTACAGGAAAAAGTCTACCCCTGCCGTAGACTATTAATATCATTTGTATTTATTTCAAAATGCGCCTGACATGATAAAACTTATTCTAAATCAGTCATGAGCAACCCGAGGCTACAAGGTTCTGCTATTTGGTCCCTCTGGGCTTTGGCAACAATTTCATTTTCCTGTTTTTTGCCTCGTGCCATTATACAATTCTAATTAAGCTGATATTCATGACAAAGAACAATCAAACTAAACTTGACTTCACTGATCACAACGAAAAGATGAGAATAAACTGTGTGTTACTAATTTGCATATTATTATCAGATATTATTTTATCTAGTATTCTGGAAGTTGTGTAGTACGTTGGTACTCAACAGGCTTATAGTCGGTAACTTCGTGAGAAAAAAAAAGGTGTGTCCCCCTCAGAAACCCACAAAGTTTGCTTGTGGCCAGAAAAGGCTACCCATCACTACTATAAACTATTGTGGAAAGACATTTCCGACAGTATTGCTTGTGGCTGTTCATATTCTGATTCCAATACATCATGCGTCAAATATTCTTTGTTCTTGTTTCATTGCCTTTATCTAAGCAACTATACTACAGTGATTGTGTTACCATAGCAGGCATGAATATTAAGGTAAGGAATGTTATATGCATTCAAAAAAAATGCATCCGTCGTTATGTATTTGTTGAATAATATGATAGAATCAATTGTGTTTGTTTGATAGCTCGATGAAAACAAGAATTTGATTTTAAAAATATTTATTTCATAAAAATTCAGTTTTAAATCACGTTTTATAGTATGAATTTTAAATAACATTCTTTGTGAATTTTTATACAGACACTACGGTGTATTTTTTCAAAACACTTGGCAAATCATTCATCTCTTTACTCAGTTGGAACGCAATTTACAAGTCGCGTTTCGGGCATTAGCCCCTCTTCAGCCAACTAAATATTAAAATTAAACATGAGAAAATATACATATACATACGCGAATAAAACATTCTGTAGATATAACATGTTTAAAAAATTAAAAAACATACCTTAAAAGTACATATTACGAACGTACAGACGGCTTACAGAATGAACTGCATCATACACTATAGATCGAGTGAAGAATTGAACAGGTTGACAAGTCTCGTACCTGACTGCTTGACAACAAGACTTTCGAATTTAACGGTCTTTAAGTTTACACAAATAATGTTCAAATAAATAAATTGAAATTTATAAACAATTTTTAACAGTATTTGTTTTACCTTTAATTTATATTCGGACATATTACCTAAATTCACACGTTAACTTTTGTAGCTTTTTCAAGACGAATCTTTCGCGCAGTTATCCCAACGACACTATCCGGTCTGCTAATTTGCCTATGTACGAGCAAATAGACACAGAAATGAAGAAAAATAACATGAAATTTGCTCCAAAATATGGAAATCTATTCTCCAGATTGAAGGCCAAACAGAGTATGAAAAAACAAAACATAAATAAAGAAGAAACGAAAAATATTGTGTGTAAAATACCATGTACATGTAAAAACAACAGCTTTTATATAGGCGATACGAAACGCAAACTAAAAATAAGGGTTAAAGAATACATGTCTGATTTGAAGTATCACCGATTAAACTCAGTATTCCACGATCATTGTTTACTAAATGATTGCAACATAGATAAATCTTACATACATATTTTACATAAAGAAAAGAAAACATATAACAGAAAATTTAAAGAGAGTGTTGAGATTATTAAAAATAAAAATAACAATTGTATAAATATAAACTTAAGCATCAAAATTAGTGAGAACTGGGTAAAAATATTATAATTGTGTTAGAGATTATTGGATATAATTATGGAGTTAATCATCAAGGTTCAAAGTTCATGTATAAATAAATAATGTTTGTAAAAATCCCGAAATATTATAAGCTAATATTAATATACTATTAATTTCTGTTTGTACACAACTTTTTATTGAATACTATAATTGTTTCAAATCAGTTCACTGATATATATGTAAATTAGCAGACCAGGTAGTGTCGTTGGGATATCCGCTCGAAAGATTCGTCTTGAAAAAGCTACAAAAGTTAACGTGTGAATTTAGGTAATATGTCCGAATATAAATTAAAAGTAAAACAAATACTGTTAAAAATTGTTTATAAGTTTCAATTTATTTATTTGAACATTATTTGTGTAACTTAATTTAAAGACCGTTAAATTCGAAAGTCCTGTTGTCAAGCAGTCAGGTACGAGACTTGTCAACCTGTTCAATTCTTCACTCGATCTATAGTGTATGATGCAGTCCATTCTGTAAGCCGTCTGTACGTTCGTAATATGTACTTTTAAGGTATGTTTTTTAATTTTTTAAACGTGTTATATCTACAGAATGTTTTATTCGCGTATGTATATGTATATTTTCTCATGTTTAATTTTAATATTTAGTTGGCTGAAGAGGGGCTAATGCCCGAAACGCGACTTGTAAATTGCGTTCCAACTGAGTAAAGAGATGAATGATTTGCCAAGTGTTTTGAAAAAATACACCGTAGTGTCTGTATAAAAATTCACAAAGAATGTTATTTAAAATTCATACTATAAAACGTGATTTAAAACTGAATTTTTATGAAATAAATATTTTTAAAATCAAATTCTTGTTTTCATCGAGCTATCAAACAAACACAATTGATTCTATCATATTATTCAACAAATACATAACGACGGATGCATTTTTTTTGAATGCATATAACATTCCTTACCTTAATATTCATGCCTGCTATGGTAACACAATCACTGTAGTATAGTTGCTTAGATAAAGGCAATGAAACAAGAACAAAGAATATTTGACGCATGATGTATTGGAATCAGAATATGAACAGCCACAAGCAATACTGTCGGAAATGTCTTTCCACAATAGTTTATAGTAGTGATGGGTAGCCTTTTCTGGCCACAAGCAAACTTTGTGGGTTTCTGAGGGGGACACACCTTTTTTTTTCTCACGAAGTTACCGACTATAAGCCTGTTGAGTACCAACGTACTACACAACTTCCAGAATACTAGATAAAATAATATCTGATAATAATATGCAAATTAGTAACACACAGTTTATTCTCATCTTTTCGTTGTGATCAGTGAAGTCAAGTTTAGTTTGATTGTTCTTTGTCATGAATATCAGCTTAATTAGAATTGTATAATGGCACGAGGCAAAAAACAGGAAAATGAAATTGTTGCCAAAGCCCAGAGGGACCAAATAGCAGAACCTTGTAGCCTCGGGTTGCTCATGACTGATTTAGAATAAGTTTTATCATGTCAGGCGCATTTTGAAATAAATACAAATGATATTAATAGTCTACGGCAGGGGTAGACTTTTTCCTGTAAGAGCCCTAGTTACCTACCTGAAAATATTGGGAGCCGCACCTAATGTTCTTGGTATAAAAATAAAAATTTCAGAATCATAATGTATTTATTTTGAGAATTTTGATATATTTATTACATTTTTTTTTTTATTTACTCTTTGCTAGTTGAAGGTTTATGAACTTGTAATGTTTGTAATGAAATTTTTAAAAATAAATATTTTTTACTTATTGGTTGTGCCACAATTGAGCTCTTGAAGATCCTCAAGATTTGGGCATCGTTGGTCTATGATATAAAGAAACTAATCTGCTATACGTTAAATTAGAAATAAAGTAGAAAAGACAATTGTTCAAAGTTCGGTGAATTGTATAAAATATTAATATATAACTTAAGCTCATTTACATATGCTATTGTAGAAATGTAAGAAACTCAAATTTTTATATATTTCATTAAGTTTATAATGTGTGTCACGAACAAAATTCTACTGCTTAATATCGTGAAATTATAAAACAAAAACACACGTGATATCACTTATAGAATTTACAACAAATAAAATTTATCAGAATGGATCCTATAAAATTTAATCGGCGTAGTTCCTTATGTATCAAAACATAGAATATTTTCAAACGTTGATTCCCCGCTTTCGAAACTAAAAAAAAACGAAATTATTAAATTTTACGAGCCTATTCAGAAATAAAAATATTATTGCACCCCATTACATAGAGTTAACAATCCAAAAGAAAATTCGATAGTTCAGAAGCGGAACATTTATTTTATAAAATTCCGAAACTTTCTAGATTATCTTTGTGTTAATCTGTTCCATAAAATGGAATTACAGGTAAAATTTCATAAATTATATATAATTAAATTGTTATATTTCTTTCTGAGATATAAATTTTATTTAACATTTTTCAGTAATACAAATTTAATAAAAAAGTTAATCTAAAATGTTTATAAATTTTATTAGATTAGAAATCACAAAATTAAATGTTAGTAATTTTATTTCTGATAAAAATAGTGATAGCAATATTAAAAACGTATGAAAAATTGAAGCACAATTTAATTAGAAACAAATTTAAAAATTGGCTTAAGTTTTGGTAATCAATCCTTTTTTCAGTGTTAATATCCATATGATAAATATATTAATTCCACATAAAAATTAATAAACATAACGATAACTAAATGAATTTCAATAAGAATAAAGACAATTTATATACCGTTAGCCTACTTCGATGCCAAACGACAGAATATTAATCCCAATCTTAAGAGCAACCGTTTTGACTGATAATGTAGTAAACATAATATTAAAATTTATATGTTATATTAATATTTAGAAGCTTATTATATAAATTAATATTGAATATATACCTAAAATAAAACATATATCTCANTATAAATACATATATAAAGTTACTCTGTTTTTAGAAATTATAAGAGATTTTATAAAAACTATCAAGATAAAATCTAAAGTACTTTTTGAACTTGTAGAGGCTTTTGAAAATTTCTTTTGAACTACGCAAAGCAATAAATAAAATAATTACATTCTCTACAGCCTATTCAAGTTTCACAAAATCCGTTTTCCTTTAAATCAATAAATGCTTCTGTTGACCTCCTAGCCTTTTACTGATTCACATTCTCAAATTTCAATCCCAAAATCTTTTCTCTTTTTAATGCTATTTATCCAAAATATTGTAGGGTAAAATTACATTCATTTTCGGATCAATAGGTAAACATCGGATCAAGAAAAAAATAATTTATAAACTCTACAGAAATTTTTATAACATATTTAAAAAATTGAAGATAATATCGCACGATAATTTCTTTAAAAAAATATAAATAAATTTATATTGATTATTTTTTAAAATAAATTGTGTATAATTAACTGTTTTTATTTGTATAATGACCCATTAACTAATATGGAGTAACTATTTAAGCATTACAAAATTAAATTGTGACAATATAATCGAGGTTAAACTGATGCCAATATTTAAAGAAAAAAAGGATTTCCTTATCATTATCAATTATTTTCTCAAATTCACTAAGTGTTCTGTTTAAATTACACTTTTAAATGCTTTTAATTAGAGTGAAAGTGAATGGATAATCTAGTATATCAATGTTAATCGAGTTTAATGAAAGAGATTAAGATAACAACTTTTCCACAAATATAATCACAATCTACTTACTGAGTTTGTTTACTCAGAATATTTTAAATATGATCAGGAAGTTGCTAATGGAAGTGAAATGTACTTTAGGCGGATAACTAATTTTAGAGAATGTTCAAAATATTTACAATATAATAAACTTTTTTATTTACTATTTTAAATTACTTATTAATAAATTTACAACAATAACAGTAAGTAAATAGATTCAAATTTCTTGAACATTTTAAATATTAATTGCATCCAAAATCTTCAATCAAAATGAAAAATATTTAATAAATAATAATATATCTTGTTATTAATATTCAACTTCTTTTAATATTTCCTTTGATATTAAATATATTTATTTGCTTGAAAGTAGAGATGCAATAAGTTAAAAATACATTAGAAATTTTTTTTAATGGAATACATGGCTAAAAGTTGTGTTTATTTAGTTTAAAGTATATTTACAAATGTCCATAAAATTTAGTTAGCTTGTAAGAATTTCAAAGAAGTGCCGCCATCTACAGAAAGTTTTTGGAATTTTATATGTTGTATTGATCAATATGAAAGAGATCAAGATACTACTATACCTTCCATGTCACTTTGATCACATCAGATGCAGTAGCAATACCCTTTACATCAGTAGGAGGCATCATCGGAGCTGAAAGAAAAATCACATATTTTATGGACTTCCGGATTTTGGTACAGAAAGACAGACAGAATTTCCGTATAGAACTCACGCAACGTCAAGTTTAATAAAGAATTTGTTTGAAATTTAAATACCTCGAATATTAGAGTTCATATATTAAAACTTTCTAAAAAGTTCTACATTTAAATAAAGTATGAAGCTTATTGAGAATGACAGAAAATAACTCTATTCTAGGAAAAGAAAAGTTACATTTCTTTCGTGATATGTATCTTAAATAAAATAGGATAAAATCGAAGCATCTCTATATTAGAATATATATAAAGATGTTAAATATCCTTATAAAATTTAATTTTCTCAATCCACTGGATAGGTATTGAATCCAAATATATTGTAGTGTAAGCTTCAATTGAAAGTACAGGTTACACAGATTTCAAATTCGAATCAATTCTATTGAATTTAGTTTCTACTAGAAAAAATCTTTGATGGAATGATTCAGTGTGGAAACTAATTTATTTCCGAACAAGTCGTTTTTATTCAGATAAGACTTTCACAATCGCGAAATCAATTTTCTGAGTTGTGCTTTCTCATTTGTGATGAAATTCTATATCTTTACTAAAACAAACTGTATACATTATATATAACAAAAAAGTAGACTAAACAGTTTCTTATTCTTTCGAGTAAAACAAGGAGTCGTAGTTGAGAAATTTAAGGAATGATTTTGATATTTTCATGTATAAATCCGTAATATAAATTGTGTTCTACTCGTTTTGTGCAATTCCAAACTTTAACGTGGTCTAACTTTGTAAATCTAACTCAGAAAGATGGATAATGTAGCTGCAGGATGTGGAAATCGAATGCTAGCTATTGTCATATCTAGGGAATACTCTAAGCTATCCCAATATGATCTACTAATAGTTGACGTACATCTTCTTGGAGTATATGTTGTTCCAAGAATAAATTTCAAATAAGCAAACTTAATAATTGTTTTTTATTAATACAGTATTACAATGTATTTATTATAAGAAAAAACAATTAACTCTATCTATGATTGTCTCGTTTATTTATTTTCGAATAAAGTAATATTTAAAATTTTTATTTAAAAAAATCTTCAAAAATTGTTATCGTTTCAAAATATATGCGAAATTATTTAAAATTGAAGCTATTTCTTAAAATTATATACAGCTAGTTTTTTAAATCTTTACAGTTCTCTGCAGCTAGTTCAGACTACTACAGAAAAGTTAATAAGCATTAAAAGATAAAATAATTTTTATAAAAACTTATTTTATATAATTTGAAAATTTATTTTGCTTTTGTTTGCTTAATTATTAACCATGTTAAATATTATTTTTCGTAAATGTTTATGCATAAACTTTTCCTTAAGTTACTTATTAATATATTTATAATACACATAAAAAAAGATATGTCTCATTTTCAATAATTTCAGGATATAACTTATGGGAATTTTTTCTATTTCAAACTATAAATACATATATAAAGTTACTCTGTTTTTAGAAATTATAAGAGATTTTATAAAAACTATCAAGATAAAATCTAAAGTACTTTTTGAACTTGTAGAGGCTTTTGAAAATTTCTTTTGAACTACGCAAAGCAATAAATAAAATAATTACATTCTCTACAGCCTATTCAAGTTTCACAAAATCCGTTTTCCTTTAAATCAATAAATGCTTCTGTTGACCTCCTAGCCTTTTACTGATTCACATTCTCAAATTTCAATCCCAAAATCTTTTCTCTTTTTAATGCTATTTATCCAAAATATTGTAGGGTAAAATTACATTCATTTTCGGATCAATAGGTAAACATCGGATCAAGAAAAAAATAATTTATAAACTCTACAGAAATTTTTATAACATATTTAAAAAATTGAAGATAATATCGCACGATAATTTCTTTAAAAAAATATAAATAAATTTATATTGATTATTTTTTAAAATAAATTGTGTATAATTAACTGTTTTTATTTGTATAATGACCCATTAACTAATATGGAGTAACTATTTAAGCATTACAAAATTAAATTGTGACAATATAATCGAGGTTAAACTGATGCCAATATTTAAAGAAAAAAAGGATTTCCTTATCATTATCAATTATTTTCTCAAATTCACTAAGTGTTCTGTTTAAATTACACTTTTAAATGCTTTTAATTAGAGTGAAAGTGAATGGATAATCTAGTATATCAATGTTAATCGAGTTTAATGAAAGAGATTAAGATAACAACTTTTCCACAAATATAATCACAATCTACTTACTGAGTTTGTTTACTCAGAATATTTTAAATATGATCAGGAAGTTGCTAATGGAAGTGAAATGTACTTTAGGCGGATAACTAATTTTAGAGAATGTTCAAAATATTTACAATATAATAAACTTTTTTATTTACTATTTTAAATTACTTATTAATAAATTTACAACAATAACAGTAAGTAAATAGATTCAAATTTCTTGAACATTTTAAATATTAATTGCATCCAAAATCTTCAATCAAAATGAAAAATATTTAATAAATAATAATATATCTTGTTATTAATATTCAACTTCTTTTAATATTTCCTTTGATATTAAATATATTTATTTGCTTGAAAGTAGAGATGCAATAAGTTAAAAATACATTAGAAATTTTTTTTAATGGAATACATGGCTAAAAGTTGTGTTTATTTAGTTTAAAGTATATTTACAAATGTCCATAAAATTTAGTTAGCTTGTAAGAATTTCAAAGAAGTGCCGCCATCTACAGAAAGTTTTTGGAATTTTATATGTTGTATTGATCAATATGAAAGAGATCAAGATACTACTATACCTTCCATGTCACTTTGATCACATCAGATGCAGTAGCAATACCCTTTACATCAGTAGGAGGCATCATCGGAGCTGAAAGAAAAATCACATATTTTATGGACTTCCGGATTTTGGTACAGAAAGACAGACAGAATTTCCGTATAGAACTCACGCAACGTCAAGTTTAATAAAGAATTTGTTTGAAATTTAAATACCTCGAATATTAGAGTTCATATATTAAAACTTTCTAAAAAGTTCTACATTTAAATAAAGTATGAAGCTTATTGAGAATGACAGAAAATAACTCTATTCTAGGAAAAGAAAAGTTACATTTCTTTCGTGATATGTATCTTAAATAAAATAGGATGATTAAAATTTATAAAAAAAAGTTACAATATATATTTAAATTATTTAACGAATAATGTAAAATTAATCTTACATATTTATAAGTTATATAGTATTCATAACTACGTCATAAATCACTATCCTTCAAAATACTAAACTAGCTTACGATATAGAGTATTGATTTTTCGTCTTTATATACATATTATTTATATTATAATATACACATTTTACTATATTCGCATTAAATTTTATAATATATTTTTATAATATGAATAGTTTCTCGGAGGCTGGTATATTATCAATTAAAAACAAACTAGGTAGACACATTTATCTTTAATGTGTCTACATATCTTGTTTCTGTTTTATATTAAAATAACTTGATATATATTTATAGATTGTAATCGTTTTGTTATATTATAATCCATCGATATAAAAATTACATATTAAGAAGAAAAAATATACCGATATATAAATAATATCGATGATGATAATGCGAGTATCAGCTGTTATTGGCATAAAAATGATTTATATATTATCGTAGAAATGATATTAATGATTATTATTGATCATCAAAGCATTATTTTTATTAGATAGTATTGATTTATAATGATCGATGATCATCATTACATCAATGATACTTTTTACGTAAGAATAATATTTATTACCTAATCAATTGCTTCAGTATCATAATGTAATGGCATTGTGATATATAAATAATCGCGAAGATATTGTTATTTGCCTCTAAATCATTCGTTCATGCATTCATTCAGGATACAGCTTTCACATTCGTCTATACAATATACGTGATATACAGATTGGTTCATTTTAATCAATCTACTGAAATAACTCGAAAAATACACATCCTACAAAAAGTTCATTAAACCAAAAATGTTAGACTTTAAGGGCCAGCAGGATGAAGCTATCGGCCACATTTTTCATATAGATAGCACTACAATCAGTAAATACGGAGCCAAGTTTATTTTCTTATATGGGAACCATGTTTTTTTTTTATTGCATATTATTCTATATCGAAAACAAACTTTATTTAAAACACTTTTTAAAAGATGCACTTATCAGAAGTTATGATCGTTTGAAAGTTTAGGCGGCGTCACACAATGCTTAAGTGAATCTGTGGATATCTTATCTCTGGGGTTCATTGAAAAACGGAAGAAAAATTATTGAAAATCATCAGGAAACTATTATTATTTAGTAGAATCAAGATCAACATCAGTTTATCACAGGTTTGACGACTTTAACAAGCTGTGGGACTAATTTCTGTATCTGTTTATTACTAGAAAAAAAAGAATGATTCTCCAAATAATAATAGTTTCTTACTGATTTTTAAAGCATTAATCTTCTTTTTTCAATAAAATTCACAGATATCCACATATTCATGCTTGCATTCTGTGGAGGCTGCGAACAATTTCAATCGCTCATAACTTTTGATATGTGCATCTTTTGAAAATTTTTAGACAAACCTCTGTTTGTTTATGATGTAGATTATTAATGTGAAATGACGAATGGAAGTTTTCATTTAAGAAACTTAACTTTATCCTATTTTAACCGATTCTAGCGTCGTCTATGACGAAATCGGTGGCTCCATCTTGTGGCCCTTGAATTTTAACATTTTTGGTTTAATGACGTTTTCTAAGGCTGCATATTTTTCGAATTATTTCTGTGGATTGATTAAAATGGATCACCCTGTATACATTATACTGTATGTTATAATAATGCTAATGTGCACATTATAAAAACAAATAAGAAAAATATTATGAAACGTCCAAAAATAAATTATAGTATATGAATTCGAGGAAAGTATGATATATAAGAAAAAAACCAATAACGAAAGATTTTAAGATTTAAATATTCACTATCCATTTTCTGTAAAAGTTTTCTATTATAATACAAATGTTATTAATGTCTTACGTCGTTCAATATCATTTTATGATATTCACTTCACAAAAAATTTTTTTTGTTTTTTTTATTCTGATGAAACCGTGTTGTAGTTTACTTTGCTTTATACAGACACACTACGGTGTATTTTTTCAAAACACTTGGCAAATCATTCATCTTTTTTTTATTCAGTTGGAACGCAATTTACAAGTCGCGTTTCGGGCATTAGCCCCTCTTCAGCCAACTAAATATTAAAATTAAACATGAGAAAATATACATATACATACGCGAATAAAACATTCTGTAGATATAACATGTTTAAAAAATTAAAAAACATACCTTAAAAGTACATATTACGAACGTACAGACGGCTTACAGAATGAACTGCATCATACACTATAGATCGAGTGAAGAATTGAACAGGTTGACAAGTCTCGTACCTGACTGCTTGACAACAAGACTTTCGAATTTAACGGTCTTTAAGTTTACACAAATAATGTTCAAATAAATAAATTGAAATTTATAAACAATTTTTAACAGTATTTGTTTTACCTTTAATTTATATTCGGACATATTACCTAAATTCACACGTTAACTTTTGTAGCTTTTTCAAGACGAATCTTTCGCGCAGTTATCCCAACGACACTATCCGGTCTGCTAATTTGCCTATGTACGAGCAAATAGACACAGAAATGAAGAAAAATAACATGAAATTTGCTCCAAAATATGGAAATCTATTCTCCAGATTGAAGGCCAAACAGAGTATGAAAAAACAAAACATAAATAAAGAAGAAACGAAAAATATTGTGTGTAAAATACCATGTACATGTAAAAACAACAGCTTTTATATAGGCGATACGAAACGCAAACTAAAAATAAGGGTTAAAGAATACATGTCTGATTTGAAGTATCACCGATTAAACTCAGTATTCCACGATCATTGTTTACTAAATGATTGCAACATAGATAAATCTTACATACATATTTTACATAAAGAAAAGAAAACATATAACAGAAAATTTAAAGAGAGTGTTGAGATTATTAAAAATAAAAATAACAATTGTATAAATATAAACTTAAGCATCAAAATTAGTGAGAACTGGGTAAAAATATTATAATTGTGTTAGAGATTATTGGATATAATTATGGAGTTAATCATCAAGGTTCAAAGTTCATGTATAAATAAATAATGTTTGTAAAAATCCCGAAATATTATAAGCTAATATTAATATACTATTAATTTCTGTTTGTACACAACTTTTTATTGAATACTATAATTGTTTCAAATCAGTTCACTGATATATATGTAAATTAGCAGACCAGGTAGTGTCGTTGGGATATCCGCTCGAAAGATTCGTCTTGAAAAAGCTACAAAAGTTAACGTGTGAATTTAGGTAATATGTCCGAATATAAATTAAAAGTAAAACAAATACTGTTAAAAATTGTTTATAAATTTCAATTTATTTATTTGAACATTATTTGTGTAACTTAATTTAAAGACCGTTAAATTCGAAAGTCCTGTTGTCAAGCAGTCAGGTACGAGACTTGTCAACCTGTTCAATTCTTCACTCGATCTATAGTGTATGATGCAGTNCCAACTAAAAAGGTTACCATCAATTCTTGTTTTTTACATTTCATTTTGAAAATATTCGAGGAAAAAATTTATAATTAGTATATCATTAATACAGTAGAGCATCGTTTATCCGAATCAATTGGGGACTCGGGTTGTTCGGATAACTTATTTTTCGGATAACCGATTATGTGAGAAAAAAATATATTAACCTATCCCGTGTTGAAATTTTTCTCCGTTGCGTGTCGCTTCGCGTTGAATTTTCGTCCATGTTAAAAATTCTTTCGGATAACCGACTTTCGGATAAACGACGCTCTATTGTAATTAAATATGACATATTTTTGCCAATTCGATATTAGTTCTACGTTTCGATGCTGCTACATGAATTGGATTAAAACTGAATTAAATAATTATGATGTGCAGCATTTCCAGAGTAAACTTCAGCCATTGGGATTGGATTGGATTGATGAAAGAAGACAATGCAACACCTGGGCAATCTGCCAAGGGAAGGTTTCCTCTCTTGGCAGGGAAAGGAGGTATGTCCCGGGAGAACTTTCTATGGGAAACTGGCTCCTATTTAGATGTTGGACACGTGAAGAAAATCCGAAAACGTCAACATGGCTAGCTCGTTGGTCAGGTGCCAACCCGTGACCAAACTATCAGTGACTAGTGATTTTTATCTATTCGGTCACCGATGGGACGGTTAACTCTAAGAGAAGAGGGAAAAAACAAAAAATATATTATTGATTTATATCTATATAATATTTGATACTATACTAAAGCTAAGCTTACTTTAAAATTATTATTGCAAAGAAAATTTAATTGCATTTTATTCACCTAGAAATAAGCTTATATACAGTACAACAGGCAACAAATTCCAGAGTTCCATATTATATGTATAAAAATTTATATTTAAGAGGAGCTAATATTCATTTATGTATTTACAAATACGTTTTGGTCTAATTGGCTAAAAATTTATAATATAGAAAGTTTTTACCAATCAGGAATAGTTCAAAGTCAATCAATTTCAATTGTTTTAACAGAGAATTGAATTTAAAATGTAAAAAAATAACAATTGCAAAAGAGTTTATGATAAAATTTATACAGAATTAATTATTATCGATTGTAATTTTTGGATCAAGCCTATACAAAAGTAANTTATATCTATATAATATTTGATACTGAAATAAATGGTTGGCTTTCAGAAATTGTTTTAGAATTAAGTTTTGAAATTCGTTGAGCAGACACTATATTTCAAACTGATAAAAATGTTCATAGTTGGAAA